TAGCTCCATCCATTTACCTGCAAATTTTAAGATGTGATTTTTTTTCTACTGCATAGTACTCCATTGTGTAAATATACCACATTTTCCTTATTCATTCTTCAGTCAAGGGGCATTTAGGCTGTTTCCAGGTTCTGGCTATGACAAACAAAGCTGCTATGAACATAGTTGAGCACATGTTCTGGTGGAACAGTTGAGCATCCCTTGGATATATACCCAAAACTGTATTGCTGGGTCTTGAGGAAGGTTGTTTCCTAATTTTCTGAGAAATTGCCATAGTGATATCTAAAGGGGCTGTACCAGCTTGCACTCCCACCAGCAATGCAGGAGTGTTCCCTTTACCCCACAACCTCTCCAACATAAGTTGTCATCAGTGTTTTTGATCTTGGCCATTCTTACAGGTGTAAGATGGAATCTCAGAGTTGTTTTGATTTGTATTTCTCTGATGACTAAGGATGTTGAACATTTCCTTAAGTGTCTTTCAGCCATTTTAGATTCCTCTGTTGAGAGTTCTCCGTTTAGGTCTGTACTCCATTTTTTTTATTGGATTATTTGTTCTTTAGATGACCAACTTCTTGAGTTGTTTGTATATTTTGGAGATCAGACCTCTGTCTGATGTGGGGTTGGTGAAGATCTTTTCCCATTCTGTAGGCTGGGGTTTTGTCTTGTTGACAGTGTCCTTTGCATTACAGAAGCTTTTCAGTTTCAGGAGGTCCCATTTATTAGTTGTTTCTCTCAGTGTCTGGGCTACTGGGGTTATACTTAGGAAGTAGTCTCCTATGACAATGCACTCAAGTGTACTTCCCACTTTCTCTTCTATGAGGTTCAGTGCGGCTGGCTTTATGTTGAGGTCTTTGATCCATTTGGACTTGCGTTTTGTGCATGGTGATAGGTATGGATCTATTTTCATTATTTTACATGTTGATATCCAGTTATGCCAGCACCCTTTGTTAAATAAGCTTTCTTTTTTCCTTTTGATATTTTTTGCTCCTTTGTCAAAAATCAGGTGTTCGAAGGTGTGTGGATTAATACTCGGGTCTTCTATTTGGTTCCATTGGTCTTCTTGTCTGTTTTATCCCAATACCAGGCTGTTTTCAGTACTGTAGCTCTGTAGTAGAGTTTGAAGTCAGGGATTGTGATGCCTCCAGAAGTTATTTTATTGTACAGGATTGTTTTGGCTATTCTGGGGTTTTTACTTTTCCATATGAAGTTGAGTACTGTTCTTTCAAGGTCTGTGAAGAATTTTGTTGGGAATCTGTAGATTGCTTCTGGTAAGATTGCCATTTTTCATCCGGGCCAGTGGGATACAAATGATGGTCCCTGATAAATCTAGGGGAGAGGAATGGAGGGGCAAGGGACATGAAGAATGACAGCAAAAACAGTTTTTCTGATCAAGCTGCCTCAGAGGCTGTTATACAGCAATTGGACAAGGTGTCAGGTCTGCTGGAATTCAGGCCTGGAGGCATCCCTAGCTGATAAGTAAATACTGAGTGTCTGTGATTGTTGACTAACAAAAGAAATGCTAATGTTTTCTAAAAGCCTGGGGCCTGCAGGTCTCACTAGGTTAAGGTCTGGCACTTGCCCTGGAAAGGTGAATATCTTACTTGTGAACTTAATATGGCGTAAACAAAATACAGGTCTTTGCTTCCGGCAGTTTTAACTATGTTAATTCTACCTACCCAAGAGCATGGAAGATCTTTCCACTTTCTGATGTCTTCTTCAATTTTTTCAAAGATTTAAAGTTCTTGTCATACAAGTCTTCCACTTGTTTGTTTATAATTACTCCTTGATATTTTATGCTATTTGTGGCTGTTGTGAAGGGTGATGTTTCTCTGATTTCTTTCTCAGCCCTTTTATCATCTGTGTAAAGGAGGGATACTAACTTTTTTTGAACTCAAAAAAAAGTCTCTTGTATCTTGCCCCATTACTGAAAGGTGTTTATGAATTGTAAAAGTTCCTTGGTAGAATTTTTGGGGTTGCTTATGTAAACTATCATATCTTCAGCAAATAGTGAGAGCTTGACTTCTTTTCTGATTTGTAGCCCGGTGATATCTTTTTGGTGTCTTAGCTAGGACCTCAAGAACTATATTGGATAGATAGAGAGAGAGTGGACAACCTTGTCTTGTTCCTGATTTCAGTGGAATTGCTAGGAGTTTCTCTCCATTTAGTTTGATGTTGGCTGTTGGCTTGCTGTATATTGTCTTTATTATGTTTACGTGTGTTCCTTGTATCCCTGCTCCCTCCAAGACCTCAATCATGAAGGGATGCTGTATTCTGTTGTAAGTTTTTTTGGCATCTAATGAGATGATCATGTGGGGGTTTTTTTCCAGTTTGTTTATATGGTGGATTAAGTTGACAGATTTTCATATTTGAACCTTCCCTGCATCTCTGGGAAGAAATCAACTTGATCATGGTGGATGATGGTTCTGATACGTTCTTGGATTCGATTTGCCAGTATTTTACTTAGTAGTTTTGCATCAATGTTCATGAGTGAGATTGGTCTATAATTCTCTTTCTTAGAAATGTCTTTATGTGGTTTGTTATCAGGGTATTTGTACCCTCATAAAAAGAGTTTGGCAATGTTCCTTCTGTTTCAATAGTGTGGAACAATTTGAGGAGTATTTGGTATTAATTCTTCTTTGAAACTCTTGTAGAATTTTGAGCTGAAACCATCTGGTCCTGGGCTTTTTTGGTCAGGAGACTTTTGATGACTGTTTCTATTTCTTTAGCAGTTGTAGGTCTGATAAAAAAAAAACTTTTTTAAAAAAAATGATAGTAAGATAGCCTAGGCACATAGGCTGTAGTTTGCAGATCTGACTATAAATGAAAATGGTAAATGGGTTTTTTTAAAAAAAAAAAAAAAAAAGCAATTACTTTTTAAAGTTAATTTGAAAATACAGCTCTATTCCAAATAGTATACCTGAAAAAAGTCAGTCATTACTCCCTAAAGAAGCTTACTGATTTCCAAAGGTACCATTGGAGCCAACGTGATTCAAATTCAGGAAAACAAAACGCACTAAGTTTTCATCGTGTTCGTTCCAATTCCGATTATACAAAGATTGTATAAGTGCCACTGTACAAATCACTCTCAGCTTTAAATGCCTTTCAAGTCTCTGTGGACAACAGCAGTTCACTGAAAATTTCAGCTCCATGGTCTTTCATCCCCAGCACCTCAGCCTCCACCTTCTCCTCTACTTTCAGGCTTTGCACAGCCTCTGCCCTCTGCCTAGTGATCTTTCTTCTAATTAACACACGTAACTTTCGATTTCATCATTTTGTTCATGACATCCCCAAGTGAGGTGCATACCCTCACAGACATGGTTACTGCACTGCACATACGTTCATGACAGTTACAACTCAGTATTTGTTGACAGAACGTTGGTCCCTACCAGCAAACAGCTTCTTCAGATGGGACTGGATCACTGACGGGTTAGTGGACTGGCCCAGGATTTCTAACAAGTCATCATCTCCAATAAAATAAAATCTTGGGAATGCTGACCGTTTTTCCTAATGAAAAAGAAAAGAAAAAAAGGTTTTTCTCTTTTCAATGATTAAGATATTGAATATGTCACGGTTTATTAAAGCTTAAAATAAGCAGACATGCCTCCAAAAATTCATTTAAGGATTTCTGACATCTTTGAAGCTGATCGAGGATTGTGAGCAGAGCATTTCGGATTCCTGCATGAGTGGTCAGTGTGGTGACTCGATTGTCTTTCTTGATGTCCAGCATTATTGATCTACAAGATAAAAATTAGTTTCACATTTATGTTAAGATTTCTGCCTTAAGTGAAAGAATTTTCATGTTTCAAATTAAGAACAGCATTTATAATAATAATAACTTATCAAGCTTCTAATAAACCATGTGAAAATTAATGTCATTGCAATTTTTCATCAAATATTACAAATCTTCTTCTTCATTCATTCAGTCATTCATTGAATAAATACTAAGTTCTATGCCCTAGAACTAATGGCCCAGTAACACAGAAGGGCATTAAGCAATGCCTTAAAATACTTAGGTATAATAAACACCACAAAGAAAAGGTGCAAAGTGTTGGCACAGTGACTATTAGGAAACCTCTGACTTAAGCCTTCTTTGGGGAAGTGACCCAAGCTGAGATATGAATGATGAATAAACAACAGAAGGGTTTATGACTGAGGTCCTGGGAAACAACTACATGGACCTAAGACCCTGGAGTAGAGGCCGGAGAGATGGCAAGGGACACATATGCTTTCTCCTTAGTGCAATGTTACAAAAGTTTAACTACCATACGAAAAACGTCAAGAACAAGTTGGAAGGCTAACGCAGCGCCTATGTGAGAGATAGAGATGAGAACGCAGACTTAATAACTAACTTGGAATGGGCAAAGTGAAAGACAACAATCTGCCTATGTATCTTGCAGGCAACAGCAGGTGGCAGAACTTGCTGAGGCAGAGTGAACACTGGTGAACAGTGCCGGGGGTAAGGTGGAGGACCAGGTTCACCTGAGGCCTGAGGATGGTGACGAGTGTTAAAGCTCAGAAGAGAAGCATCAGCTGTCCCTGTATGTAAGATCCCAGCAAACAAAAAGAAATGATTCTACCACTTGTGAAGATGACAGAGGCCTTCCTCACCCTCAGGGAGGCTTCCTGTCGCGCAGGAAATAGGGGAGCACCACTTAGTACATAAATGAAGGATGGCAAAGACACAGAGCAGGCCGAAGTGCTTCAGAAGAGGAAACAGCACTGCAGAAGGCTGACTGCAGGGCAGACGGAGTGCATACCCAGGACCCGTGGATGTGAGCACTTCACAGCGTGAGGAATGCCACCACATGCCTACGTCTACATAGCTGTACTGACCTAAAATCTTCATCAACTTTGTTGAAGCGTGATTGTTCTTTAGGCAAAGCTCCACGGCCAAAAATGGGCTCCAAGTACACCCATTTCCTCTGAATATGATTTAAATTCTGCAGGTACTCATCTAACTGTGCAAGTTTTCGTTCCCAAATTGATACTTTATCTTCAAATCCTTTGTAATATGGAGAATCTTTTAAGGACTGAAGAAGGCATCTGTTATCTCCAACCTGGTTCACGATGTCTTTCCAGTCTTTAATCAGCTTGATAGTTCGATTCTGGCTGTCTTCATAATCAATCAAGGAGAACACTGCTCCCACTCCCCATAGATCAAGTTCACGCAAAGCTTCTCTGATGGTAACTTCCCCTTGTGCCCGACTATTTAAATCCTATTAACAAGAAAGATAAATACTTATTATTTTAAAATTAATTATCCCATAAATAAATGATAAGAAATATACTATAGTGGGGTATAGTGGTCCACGCCTGTAATCCTAGCCCTCGGGAGATTGAGGCAAGAGTATCAAGGAATTTCATGTCCTCTTCAGCAGCACAGTTTAAGGCCAGCTAAGATTGCATTATAAGTCTCAATCTGTGCTCCAACAAAAACAAGCATATACACATATATGTATACATACACATATACAGTCTTATAAAAAATATTATATGGATTTTCACCATTAGGAAAAAGTTAGATACATTTTACATATAATCCTAGAAAATAACTGAATACTGTATCACACATTAGATGTTAAGCATTCATGCCCAAATGATCAAATATATACAAACTCCTGCCTTTTGTTGTTCAAGTCTAAAGAGGGGGACTAGGGCTTAGCAGATAAAATGCCGAGTCTGGATACCCAGCTTCCACATAAAGGTCAGGCACACAGCACACATCTGTAACACCAGCACCAGTTTGTAGAGACAGGAGGATCCAGCCGACCCACTGGTAAGCTCCACATTCAACAAGTGACCCTGCCTCACAGTACAGGTGGAAAGACACCTGGCACCAGCTTCTTGACTCCACATGCATGCACATGGGCACGCACACATAACACACACTTAGAACACAACAAGGAACATGCAACTAAAAAATAAAACAAGGAAAAAAATCATGCATCCACAACTGAAAGTTGACAGAAGAAATGGCCAAAATTTGGTAACCTAGAACAACCAGAATATTATGGAAAATTTCCTGTAAACTCTTTGCATCAGATGTGGCTCCCCTGTGCAGGAATCTTGTCACAACCTCACAGATTAACGGCATGATCTAGGATTAGTAACAAAGATAAAGACTTACATTTTTATAGGAGATAAAATAATAAAGCATCAAATCACCCTATTTTATCACTAGTGGACAAAACACAGCATACAGCTCCTGATGATCTATGTGTCATTTATCTTAGGCTCGGAGACGGCACCCTAATCTACTGCTATCCCAGACAGCAATTGCAACTCCAGTTACCAGCCTGCTTCTCCTGCAGCAGCCTGGCTGCTCAGGCCACAAACTGGTGGAAATTCCGTACCTGCAGGCATAGTTTTAACTAAATCTCTACCATTCTATTTATAAATAAGACTCAAGATTCAAAGGTTGGGGTGAAAACCTGTGAGCTCAGAGAGACTGAGTAGCAACTAACTAATCTTCTCTCCTTGCTGGCATCTCCCAAAACACACACACACACACACACACACATGCCTTTCTGCTCCACCAAAACAAAAAAATCGTCACCATTCAAAACCCCTCCCTCCAGTGTGTCTCTCTATCTCTCCCAGATGCCCTCTGAAGCTCTATGATTACTTTCTGTCTACTAGTTGCTAAGTCACCCTCCTGACCCAAGGTTAATTTTATTTAATTAATGCAAATGCAAACTCAGGGTTCACAGTGTGACAGAATATTTCCCAACAACTGCAGTCTAGTTTTCCTTGAGACATTTTCCTGCCAGGTTGGTAACCAGCTGGTTACTAGTTAACCTGCAGGGCCTCCTGTCCTCTAGCTTCTGCCCACAGTACGTCACGTGACGTGAGCACACTGAATGTCAAATGACTCTTCTCTGCTAGCATTTTTCATGCGGCTGACTTCCTTCTGCAAGCAGGGGCCACTACTAGGGTTTCTATAACCTCATCTAACAGGTCCCAACAGTGCAATGCACTACCAACCATGAATAATGAAACAACACACACAGTTACTGCTTTGTAGGAAGAACAGATGCTAAATAAAAAGGACTAGCAGAGTCCAAGCCTCACTTTAAGGTCTGAGGCTCTCTCCACAATTGTATCAGCAACTCGGAGCAGGTCACCAAACAGTAATTTCTCCAGACTGGTCCCTCGAGGAAGGCCAAGCAGACGGAAAAGGTCAAGCCAGTGGTCTGGAGAAAGGTGCTCCCCTCTCACATATTTCAAGATAGGAATTATAATCTATCAGAAAAGAGAAAGAGAAGACTTACACCTATGCTCATGTGCAAAATCCACAAAATTCAAGTTATTCACACATATTAATGCAATTTCATAAGTAATTTTAATAATTATTTAATAATCTTGAAATCAAAGTCTTAAATAAAATTATATAAAGTTTGCTATTAAACATTACTGTAAACAAATGTACATTATATTTATAGTTTAATAAATTTTAAAACATGAGAGACTATACCCCTGCTTTCTGAGACACATAAACGCTCTAAGAGCAAATACAAATCCTACTGGGATATAGCTCAGTTGGTACAGCATTTGTCTGATCCTAGCCTTAATCCCCACTACTGCAAAAAAAGCCCTATGTATAATTCCTATTGATGCAAAAACAAAAAACAGCTGGGTAGTGGTGTCACACACCTTTAATTCCAGCACTTACCACACAGAGGCAGGCTGATCTCCAAGTTTGAAGCCAGTCTAGTCTACAGAATAAGTTCCAGGACAGCTAGGACTACACGGAGAAATCCTATCTCTTTAAATAAATAAATACATACATACATAAACAAACAAATAAATAAATAATATTCCATAGTTACATTGCTTTCCAGTATTAGCAGAACTATATCTATAATTTTTATAATTTATGTATTTTTCCCTTTGTTCATATAGTGGAAAAATTTAATTGAAAAATAAATTATGGTTCAAACAGTAAATAATAAAAAGATAAACAATGGCTCCAAATATCATTTTCAAGTATCAAGTAAAGAAAACAATCTTACTTTATATCTGTCAACTTCTGACTGCAATTTTACTGTCATGACTGAATGTTCTGCAACTTTCCTCAATCTGTCATGCCAGTTCATTAAAAATTCCTCAAACAGATAGGTCTTAGTCCTGTAAAAGAGCATGAACACATACTAAAATTCACACTTCCTCCGAAAATGAGCAAATTATAAGAACATAAATATTGCTTAGGAATCAAACCGGTAAGAAATCCAATCTTCATTGGCCATTTCCTGGAGACCTTGTTGGAACTCCTCATAAAGAGCCCAGATTTGTGCACAGCTCTCAATATCCTTAGAGATGCTATACGCCAGAGAGAAGTTGGGCTCCTCTAGTCCAAAATGATGGCAGTCATCACTACAGAAATAAATATCAAAATACTGAATTTATACAAAAAAAAGTGTCAGATAGTAATTTACTTAGCCACATTCTGCGGTTGAAATACACAAGGACAAGTGCCTACTTCACGTGAGAATTTCACTTCACTCATGCTATGGGTCCTTTGTCAAAGCTATCATGTAAAAAGAATACATGTGGAGATTTTTTATGTTTATAATTGTATGTAAATGTTTGCTTTATACATTTATAGACTCATCTTATAAAATATCTTCTCAGTTGAATATAAGAACCCCCTTAATCTATTAAGTATACTACCATGTGTGATTAAACTTTACTCACTCATCCCAGGGCTGCATTCACCAACATAGGCATATGCACAAATCAGCATTTGCTGTGACCGTTAAGATGAGTCAGCAACATATTTCCTACTTGTCTTATGAATTATTTGACTGGAGTGTGTGTGTGTGTGTGTGTGTATACCAGAGCGGTACGTCAGACATCCTCTCCTACCATCTCTGTTCTTCTAAGAAATGTTCTCTCACTGAACCTGGACTCCCAGTATTTCATGGATAAGCTGCTGGCCAGTCAGTCAGCCCAAGCATGATCGCAGTCTGTGCTTCGAGCACTGGAGCTAGAGCCACACAGGCCATGCCCAACTCTGTAGGAGGTTGAAGATTCAATCCCCACGCTTGTAAATGGGCTCCTCTCCCCAACACCCAGGTTCATTTTGGAAAGAGGCATTAGCAGTATTCTTAAAATTAAATATTCCATTTTTAAATAGGATGGTATCAAAACAGTATTAGAGCCTCTGAATTTAATATGTAAGCTAATTTAATGTTCTAACCTCTCACAAGTCCTTTTTTGAATTTATCTTAATTCCTTATACAGTTCAATCACAGCTTCTAAGAATGCAATGGTTTAACAGGTTGTAGTCTTAAACTTTCTGAAATTTATGAAGAAAGGTACTAAAGAGCTATAATTACAGCTAGGAAGCCAAGTACAAAGGCATAAAATGTTTTTTCAAAATAAGCATCATGAATTACAAACAAAACGAAATAAAAATAACTTACACTAGCTTTTTTCTTATGGCTTCGAGATCATCAAACTCCAGCTTTTTCTCCTTTATGGCTTTCGCGCTCTGCCCTAGGGTGTTGGGCCGGCCGGCTTCAATGAGCTCATCCCCAGGTTTCAGCTGGTCCCAGCGCGCTCGGAACTTCTCTAGCTCTTGGTGGTAGGTCTGCAGGCGGGACTTCACATTTCCTTTCATGACCTCAATCTGGAAGCAGATCCAAGGACTCAGCACAGAAGAATACCTCAGTTTCCACATTTCACTTTCAGCATTTTTTTAAAACTTAGAGAAATGTCAACACTGAATGAATGTTTTTTATCTTGTCAAGTCCATTATAATAAAATAATCTAGTAACAAAAATCAGAATATAAATTTACAGTAATGATAAATAAGTGTCAACTATAAACACTAAACAATTCTAGGAGTTCACAGTATGCCTACAATTATCAAAAAAAAGTGACCCCCATATTAAAAACAGTTCTGGATTGGCTGGAGGGATGGCTGCTCTTCCTGAGAACCTGGGATTCCCTACACTCACAGGGTGGCTCACAATCATCTGTAACTTCAGTTCCGATGGATCAAGCATCCTCTTTGGCCCTCCAGGAGCACCAGGCACACAGACACACACAAGCTGCTGTTCTGCCTGTGTGCACACTCTTAACTACAGAGGCTGTTTCTCGGTCGTCTGCAGCTGTGAGCGAAGACTACTCAGCCAACAAGATATGGAGCAGACAGGTGTGTGCAGCCTCGGCTGTGCCTACAAGTCAGATGGCGCTGTCTCCTCCTTCCTCTTCCCACTAAAGAGCAAGTGGACAGTAAAACACCCTAGACAACACGGGGAGATGGCAGATATTTAATTCAGCTAGTGTGGGCCTCGGACAAAAGACCAGACAAAGAGGCATCGTTTTAGCTTGTAGAGAAATGCTACCAAAAAGACACTCCTATGAAATTGTCATTTAGAGAAATCTTGGAAACATTATAATAAGAACTGACAGAGGTCAGTCCCAGCAGCAGCACTGAACTCCTGAAGCCAGACACTCAATATATGCAGGCACACTCTGAGAGCAGCCAGCTCTCACCTGATCTTTAATCATAAGTTGGTGGCTTTCCATCATCAGCTCGAATTTGTCCCACTTGGCTCTCAGACTGCTAACTGTTTCCACCCCGCCGCCTGCCACAGTTCGCAAAAGCCTGTTTTTGTCTTCAGCTTCTTGAAACAAGGGCAAAATCTGAGGGTCAAGAGAAGCAATGGATCATTTTATCAGTCCCTCAAGATTTCATTACTTTGATTCCTATTTCACGATATTTTATTTTAAAATGAAATAAAATTTTAAAAGGTTTTTGCTTTTAAATAATTTGTTAAAGTCCCAGCTATAAGGATTCTGATGCTTATTACTAAGTTAACAAACACACTATAATGCCAGAAGTCAAAAGGAATGAAAAATAATAATTGGGAGGCAAAGACGAAAGAACCAGAAATTCAAGGTCATATACTCCACTACATAGTGAACTCAAGTCTACTGTGGACAATAAGAAACTAACTATGCCTAATAAACAAACAAACAAACAATAACTACAGGTTTGCCTGTGACCAAAACCAGATAAATACATAAGAGAAATAGAAACATACAGACTAATTTTATGAACATAGACAAAAAAATTCTCAGGAATATACTTGCCAACTGAACTCAAGAGCATTACTGTTAATTACACCCCATAATTAAGCTAGGTTTCACTCCAAAGTTGCAGTTTAGCAAATTCGAACCTGTAAAGGTCATACAGTGTTGTCTTTGTTTGCTTTCTCTTGTTGTGGCTAAACAGGACGACCAAAACAACCCGGGGAGGAAAGAGTTTATTTCATCTAACATTTCCAACAGACAGTCCATCGCCTAGGGAAGTCAAGCCAGGCACTTAAGGCAGAAATCTAAGCCAAGCCCACAGAGAAGGCTGCTTACTGCTCACTTGTCCAAACTGCCCAGGCTGCCTGCCTAGGGATGGACCTTCCACAGTGGCCTGGGCCTTCCTGCTCAATTAGCAATCTGGACAATGACCCATAAGTCCATGGGACAATCTTATGGAAGTGGTTCTTGAGGTTCCCTCCTCCCAAGTGTGGCACGCTGACAACCAAGATCAGCCAAGCAAGCACATAAATAGACTCAGGAACAGAAACAATATGATCATTTCCACAGAAGTAAAAGAAGCCCTTGGCCAAGTTCAATGTCCTTCATGATCAGAGCGCAGGACTAGACAGGACAAAGGCCTGCGTACTAGTGGCTGCATGGACATGGAAAATAAGGTACAGTATACTGAAGAAAGACTGACAGCATTCACCAAGGTGACCTCTTCACCTTTTCCCAAGTTTCTAAACAATTCAGAGTCGTCTTCCTTCTTGTTCTGAACAAAACTTTAATCATTTAAATGCCCTGCAAATACTGCCTTGCTCTTTCTGGATTCTGCTTTTACCAATCTCACCTCCCATCTTTAACTGTGAGCTCTCTCTTGTGTGTCTCTTCAATCTCTGTTCTAACATCATATACTGCACAATAAGATTCCAATTCTGAAGACAAGATTGCTTACTCTACTATTATTCTAATCCATGAGATCACAACAAGGCTGTAAAACCTCTGGGATTAATGCAAAGGCTACTGATACTACGACATTTCACCACTAGTCTAACCCTGAGCTGCCCAGTTAGATCACATCACACAGACCCCTTCACCATGCTGAGATTACACAGGTCTAACTATCACATAAAATACCTAATTTACACATCTCTATAAAGTAAGGATGACAATAATTGCTTTTTATTCTCACCTCTGGCCTCCGATCCTGCAGGTTACTATACTGTAAATTTGTATCCCCTATTTCTTCCACAGATTGAGGTATTATTGTTAAGATCTTCATAGCCTCAGTGATGAAAGTATCGATTTCATATATATGCGCTGAAAGGGATGACACATCATTGTTACCAAACAAAATGCTCAGTTCCGGTTACATGACTGCTCAATCAAGGGCCCCAAAGCAGCCACTACATATAGTATGCCACAGTCTCAGTTATCACGCACTTCCATGGCAACAGCTTGAAATGAAGACTGAGACAACTCCCCATGAGAGGGAAGTTGTTCACAGCACACCTCAACTTTCTAAGAGGGGGCAAGAGAGGGGCTCAGCAGTTACGATCACTGGATGCTCTTGCAGAGAAGCAAGGTTCAGCTCCTAGCACCCACATGGAGGCTCACAACCATCCATACTCCAGTTCCTGGTCTCCATGGGCAACAGGCACGAATGGGGCACACATACAGGTAAAGCACTGTATACATCTAAAAAGAAATTAATGAAAATTTTGACAAAAACAAACCTAAAATGTATTCCTTCCTAGTTATATTTACTAACAATCTGAAACAATTCCAGTCTTCTAAATAATGCTAAAATGCTTCAAGTTACCATTTAGAGAGAATAAGAACAAATATTATGTCGGAAATATAATCATTCTCAACTACATACAAATTAGTACTATCTAGACTTCCACTAATAAAACTGTCTGAGACTTTTATACGTTTAAAAGACAAATGAGAATTTTCCTACTTTCTTAAAATTATCATTTTGAGGAAATTTTATTTAAGAAGACATCCTAGCTCAGTTTTAACCAGTAATTGAGAGTCCTATATTGTAACTATAGAAACTACGGCTCTAAACACACAAAGTGATGCACAGGGCTTTACTCTGGATGGACTTCTTCAGAGAAAGGACCAGCAGATCGAACAGCTTCTGGATGAGGTCATCGATCACAGTCTTCACAGGGCTGCAGTTGATGCTGAGACAGTCCACCTTGACAGCACTGGGGGCCGACAGACACGGGTCCTCAGGTTATCAGGAGTTAGAGCACACTTCATGACATAACAGATTCAGTTCAAAAGTCCTTCTTTACATAACCTAGGTTCCTAGTCAGTAAGTCCACTTAGCACCGATGTTCTTTGTTTACCAGTTTCATTCACTGAATTTTTTTGCTTGTTTGCTTGACAAGGTCTCCCAGTCTGACCTCAAACTCACAAACCTCCTGCCTCAGACTCCTGAGTGCTGGGGATATATGCATATGTCACAGAACCAGGCTTAAAGTACTAATTTTCAATCATGAAATATATCCATTTTTTAAAATTATAAATGGTTAAATACCAGCAATAGAATATATTTAAATATTTACAAGTTCTAATTGTTTCAGTATATATTTGTTTTATATTTATAAAGTAATTATTTTATAGCCAACATATAAATAAGGGTAAAAAAATAGAATATGGAATGAATACAGATTATTAAAAAAAAGCCAACAAAGCTGTTTTATAATTACAAAATTGACAAAAAGGGAAAAAACAGTTAATTTTAAATTAGTCTTCAATTTGTAGTCAAAGAAAAGTTTTAGGAAAGTTGGTGAGAGTATTACGATTCAAAGGAAGCTAGCACAGTGACACTCCTGTACCAGCACTTAGAGAGTGGAGGAAGAGGATTATGAGTCTGCCGTCATCCTTGCTACAAACAAAGTTCAAAGCCAGCCTGGGCTATGCCATCTCAAAAAAAAAAAGAAAAAAAATCTTATGAAGAGCATTTCAGTCATAATTTTAGGAAAGATATATTTGTCTCAAGAACTCTCCATTCAGAATGTGAGTCTTTTTGCTTGCTTGTTTGACTTGAGACAAGGCGTACTCATATCTCTCCCTCCAGTGCTGGGATTAGGAGCATGTGTCACAGTGGCCTACCTTTAGAATTTCTCCTAACACGGATCCTGGAAGAGAACACTCAACTGCCACTTTACTAAGTCAGCGTAATCCCTAGCTACATTCTAAACATTTGTCCTTACACCCACAGATAAATGTAATCCTCACATCTCATCAAGGAACCCTTCCCTTTGCAACAGAAGAAGACAACTACACATAACCAATCAAAACACAGAGCTGTGGAACCCAGTCCCAGTGGATGCATCTACAACACACTCCCACACCTAAGCTCAGGGGTTGTTGAGGAAGAGGGGGAGTGGGGGAGACTGTAAGAGCCAGAGAGTCCGGAGTTCTTCTGAGTCTGCATCTCCTAGCAATGTCAGAAGCTGTCTCACCAAAATGGCTGCCCAAATTTGAGCTGAATAAGAACAATAGCAATAGACATGCCAAAGCAGACAGGGAAAGCACACAAGGCTTCAATCCTACACAAAGAACTACAGGCAACTAAGGAACCTGTGAGCAAGAGAAACAGTCTTCCCAGAAAAGAGCGCACCAGTTGTTATCTAATACCAAGTGGTTGGCACCGAAGACAGACATACAAGTAATATTATATGACTGAGACGGTTGTACTCACATATTAGGAATATACACACAAACCAATCACAATTCAAGGAAAAAAGGAGGCCATGAATTTCAAAGAGAGCAACAAGGGGTATATGGGAAAACTGGAGGGGGGGAATGATGTAATTATAACCTCAAAAATTAAAAAAAATATTAAAAAATAAAAATATTCTTTTCTTTTCAGCTTCACATAGCCAGGCTAGCTTTGAATTCCCTCAGTAGCTAAAACAGCCTTGAAGTCTTTATCCTCCCTCACCTTTCCAATTATAGATACATGACCACACCCAATCCAAAGGAAATGTTTAAGCCATACACCAATGCATTATCAAGGTATTAGCTGTAAAAACATAGAAACAAGCTAAGTATATTAAATAATGGTATTGGTGACACATGCTTATAGTCTCCAGTACTCAAGAGCACAAGGCAGGAAGACTGCTAACTTCCAAGATAGGTTGGACAATTTAAAGCGAACGTGGGGTGTAGTTCAGGGATAGAGCAATTGCCTAGCATAGACAAGGTGCTGGGTTCAGTCCTCTGTATCATAAAGATAAATAGATAAGTAGGCAGGTAGACAGATGTGATAGGTAACTATTTCTATATCTCAAAATCTCAGGCTTGCTAATATCCTAACGAAACTTCCCTGACTTTGTACCAAATCGGGACAGGGGGTGAATACCTTCTGAGTTCCTATAATCAGTTCAATATCTAACACAGAATATATTCCATTCAGTATTAATAGTTAAAAACTATTAACAACGTTTGAAAATATAATCTGTGCCAGTAACATATATGCAAATTGCTGTATATAATCCTTAAAAGTATTACTTTCCTTGCAAGTATTTTTTAAAGTAGAAGAAACTGAGATTCATATTTGAATTCATGTCAAAGTCATGCAACTGTTGAGCCACCTAACTCCAGAACAAATTCACTAAGCTCTCAATGGACATGACCTCTTCATCAAACATACACTGTGCACTACCAAAGTAAGCACCTTGAGCTCAGGAATCTCTTCTTTTTGCCCGTATTTATGTAAAGTTCTTTGTGGTATCAGTACTCACCAAACATTTACTAAAAGGAAAAGTAAGTTAATAAGAGTTCTGGATGCTATCTTTCCCAGGTGACATGGAATTCACTGTCCAAACAGCTTCAGCAGGTACAATTTCAGGTAGCAAATGCGTGCAGTCTCACAAAGCTGGACTAATCCTGAGGAAATCCCCTCAGAGATTGGCACCCACATTCCCAGCAGGGCCATGTCACAACTAGTGCCGCAGAAGCATCTCAGCTTCTCATACCTGGGGAGCCGCTCAACTTCCTTCCCTTTTATCTTCAGTGCTTTAAAATTCCTCTCCCAATCATGCACAGTCAAAAGGTGCTTTTCCACCAGAGCTTCCATGTCAACTTGTCCAATTACAACCCATTCCTACTTAAAGAAGGAAACCGTATTAATCAAAGGGAACCCATACTCTCATACTGAAAGAGTAGGACCAACAAAGTGAGGAAAATAAACTGTTTTAGAATCTCTTCTCAGATTAATATATATAATCCAAGTCCAAAATCACTCCTACAAAGTACAACTTACAGATCTACAAGTGTGAGCCTAGAAATCTAGCATGCAGGCATTCACAGTGCAAGCGCAGCTGAGGAACTGGCCAAGTCTCTGACCATGACTCTTGTCCAGCACAAATGAGCACTGACAGGAGAGTTCGTATTCCCGAGTTGCTGAGCATCACACACGTACTGAGAAACAGCCACATTAACCATCATGTCAGAGTGACACTTTACACGGGAACAGGGGACACACTGTAGCACCTACACTATACAGGCCAGATGTATACCACCTAGGCTCTTGCAAGCACACCTACAAAACTGCCTAGTGACAGCTTTCTCAGAACGTACATCCGTAATCTCTGGAATTAAATTAGCATTTGAGCACTCCTGCTCAAAATATATTGTCTTCAGAATTAAAATTGATACAAATGTCAATCACACACCGAGCTGATTTAAAAGAAAACAAAGCTAGTTTCCCAAACTTTGTAAAATAAAAACAAAACTGGCCATCACTCCTTTCCCTTTGTAGCCTAAACTTAGGTTGAGGGTCCATAAATCCACTTCCCCGGGTTATACACATTTCAACTTCATTTCACCATGGAGAAAATATTAATCTGTAGGCTTACTAAATCAGTAACATTTCTGACAAGGGGTAGAAATTCACATGCTCTGTACCTTATGTTGATGTAACACAGCTGACAGCCTTCTAAACAGATCTTCTGCTTTGCCATAAATAGTCAGAAATCCACTTGCATTTCTATCAATCATAACAGAAAATATTGACTCATCTCCAGTCTCGCCCACTCCCTTAAACTGATTGGGAATGCCGATGAACCTCTTCATTTCTCTGTAATATTTAGCCCGGATTTCTTCAAAAGGAGGCCTAAATTGTAACCTTCCCTGTCTGAAAAAAAAAGTACGAATGACATTCTAAATCCTTTAAAAATTATATGACTTAAAATATAAATTAATACAAAGATTTAACTTGCAAAATAAATCAGGACTGCAAATAATCTCACTTGTAGGTTAAGTCTACATTTATCTCTGGCAGATTCTCATTCAGCGCCTCTAGGCCCATCTGATACTGGTGCTCCAGAGCCTTGTAGAGCTGGTGGTTCCAGTGTTGCCGCCACGCCTGCATGTCACTGGCTTGGAATCCCTGAAATGTCATTCACCTTTTCAATTTGAAAACTGGTACAATTTTTTTAACTTATGATTTTCAAGTTACATAAAGCACATTTGACAGATTAAAACTCAACTTTAAATATTTTAAAATATGCAACTCTAATTGCCACTTTTATTAAGATGGCTTATGAAATATTCAACACAAAAACCTCACAGTATAAATATTATACAAGAGATTCATTTAAATTAAAAACTCAAGCCAACATTATGTTTTTATTTGATGCTGGTTTTACAAGTAGTCTACTTTGTAAATTCTTCTATATTTTTTCAAAGTTTTCAAAAAAGTATCACACTTCATTTCCTAGCCATAATAATTCACTGACTATTTTAAAATTAAGAATTTTAAAATAGACTGCTCAAATAGTTGGCTTTTGTTTGATATTGTTGTTTGCTTTCATAAAGCCTAAAGACGTTTATTCTGGAACTTTGGGCTTTTTCTTCAAATTCTGAGAACTAGAAAGTATCTAAAACAGCTGACTCACTCATGTCCCGCTCAGAGCCTAGCTACAGAAAACATGCTCTAAGAAGAAAAAGAATCCTGACAGTTACATCACATAGACTGCATTTTGAACCTAACATATTCTGCAGATGTTAGTCTCTAGAAAAAGAACAACAAACAGCAAATTTGTAAGCACCAAGTCAGGAGAAAGGCATACTAGATTGGACTTAGCATCCATGAGACACACAGAAGCTTCCCTTCAGTGTTAGCGCAAATTCACTGTGATTTAGAGCATTTGTATGTGAGTCAGTTGTAGAATTCTGTATTTGCTAGAGGTACCAGGAGAGGTCTATAACTCTGTATGCAACTGGCACCGAGCCACGCATCCAGACTCCCAAAGACAGAACTGCAAAGAACAACCCGCACGCACCTGTGCTGCCACACTTGCTAAGCCAGTCCTCAGTTCCTGCAGCCCATCCTTCCAACGCTGCTGCTGCCGAAGCAGATCAATATTCATAAGAATGACTACCTGTTAGGAAGACAGAACTCTCAGTGACTCAGCCATCTTAATCAAGTGATGATGTACTACTCATTGAGAAGGGCAAAACATCCCTTTGGGCCTGTTTCCGCCACCACTGCAGGCTCATGAGGAGAGCACCATGCACACTCAGTTACTAGGGGCAAGGTGGAAAGCAGGGATCTGTGCTCAGCCAGGACATAGAATGTGCTGGGAAATGTACAAGTCCCAAAAGCTGACTTCCTCGTACAGATAGCTGTACTCTGCTAGGTTCGCAGTTAACAGCAGAAGTCAGATAAGGGAAACAAACTACTGGTACAGCTTTAGATCTCAAATTACTTCAAAAGAGAAATGTAGTTATATACAAATTATTTTTATTCAGTTCTATTCATAGTATGATAAATTCTATAAATAAAACATACCTTCTCACAAAATGTAGTATGCCACTTTCTCAGCTTTCTGTTTTCCGTGGCAAGTCTCTCAGCAGCATTTTGGAGTTTCTGGATATAGCCTTCTAATTCTTTAGGGTTGTCCCAAGTAATCTGTGATTTGCCTCCACTTCCTGCCTTTGAATTCTTCAACACAACAAGCAATAATATTCAAATACATTTCTTTTTCCAAAAAGGTTTAATTTTATGTTATAAACCCAATTATTCTTAACACTGAACTCTATGAAGATTAAAAGTATAAATTTCAAAATGTTTGCTGTCACAGAATACCATGTAGTTTAAAATTTTTTCCAATTTCCTATATACAGATATTTATTTATTTTATTTTGGTTTTTTGAGAGAGGGTTTCTCTGTGGCTTTGGAGCCTGTCCTGGAACTAGCTCTGTAGACCAGGCTGGTCTCTAACTCACAGAGATCCACCTGCCTCTGCCTCCCGAGTGCTGGGATTAAAGGCATGTGCCACCATCGCCCGGCTATACAGATATTTAAATTAAAAAGAATGTAAACAAGTCTTAAGTTACAAAATCTGGAGATAATAAAAAAAAGAAAAAGAAAAAGAAAGTCAAAAATTCTGTACACCAGGGCTGGAGAGATGGCTCAGTAATTAAGAGCATTGCCTGCTCTTCCAAAGGTCCTGAGTTCAATTCCCGGCAACCACTTGGTGGCTCACAACCATCTGGAATGAGGTCTGGTGCCCTCTTCTGGCCTGCAGACATACATACAGACAGAATATTGTATACATAATAAATAAATAAATATTTAAAAAAAAAAGAATTCTG